TTAGGTTACTTTTACTAAATAAAATTTACTTATTTAAAAACTGCATAATATATTTTTTAGTGCATGTGATGAATTGAGTAATAATTAGAAAAACTAATGTTGAAGTTGTTATGGAGTTGATTGAGTACCTACAAAGAGTGGAGCTAGGTGTACACAAAAGTTGTACACTTGTCTGTCCCTCACAGACAAGTTGTCTGTTCGGAGATCAGTTGTCTGTCCACAGACAACTCGTCTCCGGATAGACAACTTGTCTGTGAGGGACAGACAAGTGTACAACTTTTGTGTACACCAATCTTTTTTCACCTACAAATCTGTAATCGTTTTTCATAGTATAGTTTATAGAGTCAACTTAGCCATTTTCAATATAATTTTGGCCGGCAAATTTTATGGTACCGTTAGGACACTATCTAAATTAAAAATTGATATAACGATTTCGATCAATCAAATGAAAGGTAGATACGTTACTTTATATTTGAGAAAACTGTCAAATAGGTCCTTGAACTTTCATTAAAAAAAGTCAATTAAGTCCTATAGGAGACTCTGTTCGGCCGTCGCGATTTGGGGTGGTTCCCGGTAGAATTTTTTGATGAATTTTTTTGAGCATCTTATTCATCAAGTCTAGTTTAGTCACCTAAAAATTCAATTGGGAACGTATTCAAATTAATTCGAGAACGCAAAAATGCGCAGTTATCTTCAAGAATTAATTTGAATATGTTCCCGATTGAATTTTTAGCTCACATTTGGTATGAGAAAACTAGACCTGATGAATAAGATGCTAAAAAAATTCATCAAAAAATTCCACCGGGAACTGCCCCAAATCGCGACGGCCAGACAGAACCTCCTATAGAAGGACTTAATTGACCTTTTTATGAAAGTTCGAGTACCTATTTGACAGTTTTCTCTTTATATTTTAAATAGGTACCAGAGTTGTCACCTTTCGGCAATTGTAGACACTTTCCTTCTATCAAACTAGGTCGGCTACCACCGCCAATAATTGAGTTTTGAAGATAACTGTCTCGATCTGATTCTTAAAATTGTTTCTGCTTCTTCAAAGAGCAGAAGTAGAAGTTGGAGTGTTTGAGTGAAACTGCAGAAGTAATTATGGTGCTCTAATTTATTTTTAGAATCAATTTTTTAGAAACTGGGGGAGACCAGTTTCTGAAAACTGATTTTGATTATGCTTCTGCTTCTTTAAATCACCTTTTAAATCAGAAGCAGAATCAGTTCCAACACCCCCTAAATAGTACGAAGACCTTTTTAATTCAAACCCCATCATTTTTTAACCTTCCTACTTTATTTCTTTTATATATTACATCACCTTTTTAATTTTTTTTAAATGCGTTCAATGTTTCTATCCTTGGAATCACTACAAAAAATGGGATTCCAAAAATTTTTGGCAAGAATTTTTTATAATAATTTTTGGCAAAGGTTTTTCAAAATGCATGACAAGGACGCAAGGTTGTGCCAAATTTGTGTCAAAATAGTTTGACACGAGTTATTTGACGAAATTATCGATAATTGGTGACAAATTCGAATTAATCCTGCAATTGTTTTTGTAGTGAATATTTCGAACTCCTTTATACTTGTTCTGACTTATGAGTTGTAACACGTGATGAGCTTGTCGCGATTCTGAATATTTCGAACTCCTATAATGGAATGTGGTTCATTCATCATTGGTTTGTGTGGTGCCTTGGAGATCTATTTGGGTCTAATGGGATCTTTTGTGTGTGGTCAGGACTGCCCAAGTTTCATAAATGAATTAGATAATCAAATACGGAGTATGTAGATTGAGATTTGTCCAGCTTTGCAAGAATCCTGTTTTTCATGATAGGACTAAACACATTGATGTGAGGTTCCATTTTATTCATGATGTCTTAGATGCAGGTAAGGTGAAGCTGTGCAAGATACCCTCAGAGTTTAACCCTGCAGATATGGGAGCAAAGTGTTTATCTGCTGAAAAGTTGTTATCTTGTAAACGAATTTTGAATTTGGACTGTGGTTAGCTCTGTTTGCAGGTTTCGGGTATCTGGAGTGCAGATTCTCAAAAGACAAGTGCTTTGAGATAATCTGCTCTCACGGTTTTGGGAGAGTACCTTGTGTACTTCTCCAATTTTCTTTTGGGAGTATTTTGTGTATCTCCAATTTGTTTGCCAGTTATGTCTTAGGATATCACTGGTGACCCAACGATGATGAATCACGTGCTCATGTTACTTTGTGATACCTTGCACCACCAATGATGGCCAATAAGGTGGAGAGTGTGGAGGTATCGGCCCATAAAGCCTTGGTAGCCCTCTCCTTCCTTGTCTTTGGGCCTGTCCGTTTGTCTATTTAGCCCCAGCCCATGTTATTTCCCTAGCCCGTGTCCGCTCAGTTGGGGCTTCAGGTCTTCGGTTAGAGAGAGAGTGAGGTTAGAGAGAGTTGAGAGAGACTCTCAGTCTCTTCTTCTCCGGTCCCTTGGTGTTTACCTCTGTGTGCTTCCTCCCTTTGACTGTGGTGTGCGTTGAGATGGCTGGGCTGGCCTGAGTGTGACTGTCCCTTCCTTGGTGGTGCTTGGTGTGAGCTGTTTGAGTGTGGTCTGAGCTGGAGAGGTGAAAACCAGATAAAACATATTATCTCAAAATGATTGTAAAGTTAGTATTAATTAGCGAGTATAGGATCCACAAAATATATACTCCGTAATTGTTTTGAGAATAATTTAGAAGATGTGAGATTATTTCGAAAAAAATCTACATGTAAAAAAAAAATTGTGGAATACTCGGATGTATTGATTCTTGACATTTCATCCTAAAAAATGAAGAGAAAATTATTTAAATACCTCAAACTTTTAAGGGGTGTAGGTTGAACACCCCAAATTTGCACATTTAATAAACTTCGGGGTATTTTTATTAATAAAAATACCCCGAAGTTTATAACAAAATTATCTTAGCCCCATCATAATACTACTATATTTTTCTTTCACAAATGTAAATTTGTTATGTTAAAATAAAAAGAGTAAAATGATTTAGTAAAAAGAGTAATTTTTTCTTGGATTGTCTTCATTATATAAAAATTAACATAAAATTGATTAATGCATGTGAATGGGTATATGAATAGTATACAAACATTACATTATGTTCAGTAAAATATTAATATATAATTTACAAAATTAAAATACTTTTTAAAACTAAACGATTTACACTTTCGTAAAGGTTGTTTGTTTTAACATCATTAAGACTTAAGAGCATCATCATTCATGCTCCCCAAATAAACAGAGTTTTTATGAGTCACCAGTGTCACATTATTGCCACCTAAAAGATCTTAAATAATCTCAAAATCTATTAACTTTCTCTCAACCATGCTCTCTTCACTTGGATTTTTTATGGGATATACATTGAAAAATGTAACTCTCCTTAAATGCACTCTCACAGGTTTTAATTCACTCCCACACATTTGTCCAAAAAAAAATCACTCCCACACACTAATTACCTCACGTTTATAAATAAAAAATTAGAAAAGGATAATGCAAATTCATTAAAAATGAGTACATATGTTATTAACTTATTACAACTCACAAATTTATAAACAAAATTTTTGCATGTGCAAAATCTGTTGAAAAAAATCTTTTGTAAAAACAACCAAAAATTATCCCTGTATTTAATTGTTTCTCAAAAAAATTTGAAACGTAAAATTAAAAGGTTTGCATGATTTCATTAAAAAAATTGTATGGTATCAGGTATATGGATTGGTTTTTTTAGAATTTGTATTGTTTTATATTCAAAAAAGAATTTGTATTGTTTTTCCCTAATAAACAGCTAGACCGATTGTTGCCCACCAAGGAATAGCACACATGGAATCATGATGGAATCGTGATGGAATCATGGAAAACAATTTTCGAAACTAGATTTAAAATTTGATACGGGATTATTTTCTAAATAATCTCTCATCACTTTCTCAACCATAATCACAAAAAAGATCGGTTGATCTCGAAATAATCTCAACAATGAGGATACTAAGTAATATAAGTAAGCAACATCAATAAACGATTTATAGTAACAGAAGAATCGGATGTAGCATAATTCTTTAATGCGGATTGTAGATTATTTTAACATCATTAAGTAATATGTCTATATTGTTGAACTTTCACTCTATTATGTCATAGTTGTTCATGTTAATAGAGTTTTTATAATAAGTGTCATATGCTAATAGTTGTGAAATGATAATAGAAAATGATTCTTCATATTTTCTACTTTAAAATGATAAATAAAAATATGAAGTTCGAATTTGCATACTAAAATCATCCTTGTACCCTTCAATGAGGTACTGGTCCATGACTGATTGGTTTGTTCCGGAACTTGTTTAATGAACAACTCGTTCTAATCTGGTTGAGGTTCTGGAATGAGATTTGTGCAGATTTGTGACGGATAGAAGGCGAAAGAAAAAAACTATCAAACAAATGTATAGTCATTTCAAACAAATATATAGTCATTTCAAACAAATGTTCATTTCAAATATATCACATAGTACCTCCAATGAATATTTTTCAAACGAGTCACAAAAATGTAAATTAAGAATACACTCATTTTTGTTCAAAAAATTGTAATTGTATTATCTCTCCCGCATGCTCATATAATTCAAGATATATTGATTTTTCTCTCTTTTTTATTTTATTTGTTCTAATATGCTTTCATTTTTTTTATGTAAAATGTTTGATTCCCCAACTATCCTATCATTTTAAATCGAATGACAAATTTCTAGTAGAAAAACCGAATCGGAACAAACCAAACCAATTAAACTGTGATTTCTACTTTTGATTCCTTATTTAATTTTTGAGCAAAATCGAACCCAAAAACCTAACTCATCCCTAAACCAAAGTGAGACTGGGGTGATTTTTTTATTTCTCCAAAGAATAATAAGAAGTAAAATTGGGAGATAGAAACTGAACTATGAGATGGGCTTTGCTCATTTCACAGGAATAACCAATGAAGTAATGGCCCAAAATTATCATTTGAATTTTGGGAGAAGTTTGCATAAATTACTGTCCAAAACATTAGCAACGGTCGAATATAGAATTCCAATTTAAAGCTCATCCCTCATTTGAGTTATCCCTTGAGAATTGAAAGGAAAATGGATTTTGTTGAGGAGATTCACTGTGTTGAATCCGACGCCGAGACCTACGACTTGGACGATACGCAAAATGATCCAGATTTCGACATGCTTGAAGATACAAAATTGCAGTTTTCTAACATCTCCATCAGCAAGAAAACCAAGCCCAGGTAGCCATTCTAAACCTTTCGTTTGCTTTCTCTGCTTAATGCACAATTCATGTTCGTATAAACTCCTCATAGAAACTGTATAGGTACATCGGTGGTATTCTTCGAAATGGTTGAACTATTGTTTTTTGCAGGGTATGTATTTCCAATGAGAGTGATGGAGAAGAGGCAGGCTCCATTGAAATCGATGAGACTGAGCTTGATGAGAATGATCAGAAGAGTTACGAGAAAGTTCAGAGCATGATTCAAGGTTTGCAGAAACTGATCTTTCATTTCTTATTGAGACGTGATTAATATCTAATCATGAATAATATACGGAGTATCAATTTACAAAATAAGAATGACCATCAGCTTACTGTCGTTTGGTTGGACAGCTGGCGAGGTTGAAAAGCTAAAAGTTGATCAATGCAAGATCTATTTAAGAAAGCACAAATTAAGATTGACTGGAAACAAAGCTACCCTTATTCAACGTATCAAGGAGCATATTGAGTAACTCCTCCCACATATTCCCTTATGATTCCGGATTGACTAATTTCACTTTATACCTAAACTATCTTCTTTTTGTGCTTCAGTATTGTGAATGGAGGTGGGGAGAAGAAGTACCCTGTATCTAGCTTTGTATTGAACTGCAAAGGTATTATAATCTTCAAGAAATCCCTGAACCCCCACTTCACTTATTTCTAAGTTACTAGCTGAGCTTGAAAATTTTATGCTCAGGGCTGAGCTTACACATTATAAACATATATAAATAGATATAAATAGATATATACATACAGCCCTTCCCTGTCTCCGCTACTGATTACTCGATCTTCATTTAAATTCATAAGCAAGCCTATATAAACTAAGTAGTCTAAGTGTGATTATGAGAGCATAAAATCAATGAGATTTGTGCAGGTGATGCATGTACGGGAGATGTTGTCTTCTTTGAACAAAATGTATATGAAATGTAAGCTCTTTTTTTCAAATATTACCTATTTTCCTACGGGTTGTTTGGATCACAGAAAATGGTATATTTTCCGAAGGTGCCAAGGAGAGTAAACTTTAATGTTTTGCTTTACATTTGAAAATGCAAGGAAAATGAAATATGGTTTCAATAAACATCTAAATAAATTTATGGAGTTTCAGAATATAGTTTATCCCCCCACCCACCCCCTAACCCCAAATTTAGTTCCTTCCCATCTATATTTGTAAGTTGTAACACCATCCTTATATATGCTAAGTTGTTTATCATATACCCCTGGCTATTATATTATAATGCCACTATTTTCGGTGTGTGGTAATAATGGTATTAAGGCTGATCCTGCAGGTTCAGCATTGCATCTAGAAGTGCTAATGGTCCTCCATGCGGCACAAGGATTGTAGCAGGAAGAATTGTAAAAGAGAGCTATGGAATGGCCAAACAACAGCACACATTCACTGTGAGCACTTCAGAAACATTATGAATCTTGATTTTTATGTGGTTTCAGTGTGAGAACAATATGATCACAAAACTATTACTTTGATATTAAAGGGTAGAAGTAAAAAACATTTGGATGTGCCAACTAATCATTGATATAGACTTTTGATATAGACTTTTATTCAAACTATTTATCATGAGATTAATATCAGATGTTCCTCAGATTGAAGTACTATGGAGCAAAGGGGAGAAGCCGCTTCCTGCATTGCATCCCCTCCTCATTAAGGGAAGAAACCTTTATCGCTTAAAAACAATGAGACAGGTTTGACTCCTTGAACAAATCAGTCAACTCCCTCTTTTCTAATATTTGCAAATATTATGTTATCTTCATCAATTTTGCTTACACATCTTGTTTGCTTTTGTTAAGAGATGGGAAGATGAAGGAGTAAGGCAGAAGATTTTGTCAGAAAAACACACAAGAGGCTGTGTTGCTCGAGCGAATAGGGAAGCACGCGTTGAAAAAAAGAAAATGCGACAGGAGCTCAAGTTGAACAGGTAATTAGAGACAAGATTTTGTGAAAACGAATATAATGACAACTATTACTAGTTACTAGTTTAAATTTTAGGCAAAAGTGTGACTCATTTTACTTTGTACAAGAAAAAGGTGATTACTAGTTTAATACTTCGTATTTAACATAAATAATACTATCGTATAAAGCAGTCTTCAATACCTTAAAGAGTGATTAACATTTAACTAAAAATAGATAGATGTATATCATCATTATCAAATAAAAATGCAGGGAAAATTTGGTAATTGCTATTTAATTGATGAATATTTATGTACCCCCCCCAAAAAAAAAGCATAAAAACAAAAAATGTGTAGAAGGGGATCATCGTTCTTATATTTACTACAGAAAGTTAACATAAAGGTCCACTCCGAATAAAAAATAAAAGCAATAGAAAATAACTACGTGGAAGAGTATTAACTTTCTTTAATGATCACTAAATATGATCAAGAAAAAACATTGAAAGAGTGAGTATTGACTTTCTTAATATGATCACCAAATATGGCAGGGTGAAAACGCAATGCCATAAGCAAGCAGCAGTTGGGGAAAATGAGGAGACAAGAACGAATAAACCAGAGAAGCATGACAAGAATGGTACCATGCTAAAAAACAAGCAAGAGCAAACTCCTCTAGAGAATGAAGGGGAAAATAGTTTGCCAAAGCCTTTATACAGAGGGCCGAGCACGTTAGGTGTTTCAAGTATGCCATCTCAACACGACAGGCTTCATCGACCTTTGCCTTACGCAAACGTGATAAATGGACAATGTGGCTCTAAACAACCTTTGAATGGGCAGCACAGTCAAAGGCAACCTTTGAGTGATGCCAATTTGAACACTTTGGGAAACTATAGTAGCAGTTACAAGCCAGGGAGAATGTGGCATGGAAATAGAATAAATCAAAGTAACCAAGCGGGGTCATACTATTTCACGCCAGCTCCTCCCCCTCTGCACAGTTGGAATTTGGGTTATGATGGAAATCCTTATCCAGCTAGAGGAAGTCAGTCAATGAAGCAACAGCCGTGTTGGCATTATGCTCAAGGAAGATGCCACTATGGACACAATTGCAAGTACTTGCACTGATATGATAGCAAGTACTTGCAAAATGCACGTTTTGATGTTTAAAAATAAAAATTTCATTAATTTGTTTTTTGACTTTTTCGATTAATAAAAGTAAAATGAATTCTCAAGTAAAGTCTGGTAATTTGTTTAGGTCACATGATTAAAAATTTGTGTTTCTGTGTTTTTTAGCCTAAAAACTCCAACAGTTGAAAAATCAATTTTTTTTAAAAACTTTATGAATCTTGATATGTAGTATATTCTTTTAGTGAGCGTTTTTTTACCTTTTTATGCATTAATAATCACACGGCTCTCTCTCATATTCTTGTCCCAATCTTAGAGGGATGAAGATAATAATTATTGAGATAGATATACAGTTTTTAGTTTTAGATTTCTATTTTGAAATTCAGTTGTTTAAACTTTTGAGCCCATACATTTCAGTTCGTTTGAATGAACCAAGTTCCGACTTAAAACTACAAAAAGTGTAATTTGATTTTAGTTTGGTTGGGTTTATGGAAATTCGAATCGGAACTCAGCAAAAGTAAACCAAATACGGAGGGAAAATATATGATAAAACCTCAATGAAAACAAACCCCAACCAAACTCAAACGATGTAAATGAACAATTGAACATCAAACTGAATATAAAATATATACCCCTTTATGGCTTTATATGTATGTGATATTAGATTTTATAGGTTAAAATAGTAACCACGCTTGGCTTGATAGATTTACCAAACGACATCTAACTATCATTAATCAAATTTTACAAGAAACAACAAAGTAACACTCAAGATATTAGTCAACGAGATTAGTCAATGCGATATGTTAGAATCCCATTTTGCTTTATACTTCATGATCATTATAATTGGGTTTTGACATGTAATACTAAAGGAAATACTAGATTCAAACATTTCCGAAAAGTGACTATGATATTTATAAAAAATGTTGTTGGTACACGTGCTTTCTACAATAGTATGTGCACCCCTAATTGTTGGTCTACACAGGAAATTCGTTAAAAAGTTGCCTTGTAGACAGACAACTAGGCAGGTTTACGCAATATGTGTACAACGTATGTGTACACCAAGCATTACTAATATATATAGCCCCATTTAGTGACATTGATCAGATTTTAGTGACTGTGGGAATCCGGACCTCAAGTATCCCGGTTACCCTCAACACCCTAGTGGCCCTAGTACTCGAGTTAACCGAGCCCTAGTTACAGTTAGTCAGTAACCATACATTTACATTGCTACTTCCCGGTCAATGACATTGTGCCCCCGCCCCACCTCAATCTAGTGAGAGTTGCCTCCCCGACGACTGACATGCCGCCACTAGAAGCCGGGCACCCCACCAACCATGTCACTCAATATCTCATTGGTCCTGTCACTACCTTAACAACCCGCCCCTGCTCAATCAGATGCGTCGCTACCACCACCACCACAACCCACTATCCCCACCAGCTCGTCATAGCTCTAACAACCCCGCATCTACCCACCACATCCTATCACATCTTTCCAGCCCCTACACCGCCCCCACCAGCCCCCACGTGTGACCTTAACCAACTTGCGAAGCCTAGACATCTAGAGCAGGTCCACACTCCACAGGCATTGCTTAGCCTAATCGAAACCGTAGCCACCATTTGCAAGCCATCGTTGTCGTCGTGCGACTACACCATCCCAAATCAGAACAAGAATTAACGATCGATGAAGGAGAAAAAGAAACAAGGAGAATAAGAGCGATGGATAAGATAACAACTATGCTAGCGACAATGACTCAAGATGGCAGTGGTGCCAGCACTTGGGTGGGAGGCTGCAATGTAATGGAGCTCCAGAGTGAAGAAGCCTGCTGAGGGTTGGGAGGATTAGAAATTTAGAGTTATTGTATCAGGGGTATTATTGTCCTTTCAGATCTAAATGTGTTTCATTCTTGTCCAGATCCATAAGTAATTTTATATTTGTCAATTCAAAATTTTGGGAAGTAATGTTCTTGTCATTTTTTCTATCAAAATAATGGATTGATATTGGGCGGTGATGCTATATGTAGAATCGGGTTAATATTTCCGAATCCATATGCTTTGGAATGTAGATGGTCTATAGTCTATACTAGTCATGATTCCACATGCTTCAAATTGTTAGCTGCTTCAAATTGCGGCCAGTGAAACATTTTAACAATATGTTTTTCTTTGTGCTAGTTGGAAGTTTTTCCAAATTTGTGCGCACTTTCCATATAATCTTACTATTCTGGACAAAACATCACTATATCAATACCTATTTTTCAAACAATAATAATCGCAGTGATAAAATATATAGCATCAGGCATGTTTACCAGCAAAGAGAGAAACAAAGATGCTTCTATAATTAATACTCTGTAGTAACTAACTAGCGGAGTTGCTCTTATTCACACATTGTAGCTGTTGCTCCATTGGAGAATTCGTCATACTACCAACAGACCCCATGGTTTGAGAACTAAGCTGAGGGCTGGCAGGGCAAGCTCCTTCTGGATGATTACCACCACTCATGGTATGATGATGTATAGCCCCAGAACTGAGTTGTGGGCTCATCGGAGGTCGTTGGCCCATTTGCTGTGGGCTCAACTGTTGTTGCTGATTCATTTGCTGGAGCGGGATTATGCCCATGCTGCTTGACGGTGACCCCACCACTTGTTGAGGAGGTGAAACTACTACAGGCTGTAAAGGAGATGACGATGACATTTCTAGTTGTGTCTGTTGCTGCTGAATCTGCCGTTGATGGTGCATCTGCTGCTGCTGCTGAATCTGTTGCAACTGTTGCTGGTTCATGTAAAGATTCATCCCCGATGAAATCAACTTCGGTGGGCCCATTGTAGCCAATGACGTCCTTTGCAACGGGTTGATGCTGGTGGCAGCCCGGTTAAGAGCACTGGGTCCCAACATTGAAAGACTATTGGCAGAGGTGGGAAGCATTTGTCTGCCTCCTCCAGTCATACCTGCTGTTAATATAAGTAATAGTTTAAAGATGGGTAATTGAAACCCTATGACGGTCTGTTTGATTTACACAAGAAACAAATAAGAGATAAATGAATGAGAAAGAGATGGAAAAGAGAGGAATAATAGATAAATATGGCATGATTGTGTTGTTTAGTGTACTAGAGAAATGAAGAAGAAATTATTAGCAGAGATTCACCTTACAACAGATGAATCCGCCATTTTATTTGTCTCTCCATTTTTCTTCTCCAAACAAGAGAATTCTTTATTCACTTCTATTTCTTTCCAATATTTCTTTCATTCATACTTCTATACCTTAAATCTTTTGGAAGTAAGGCTTGGATGTTGTTGTTACTGTAAATTTCTACACCTTAACCAAACAATGGCTATGGGTCCTCTTTGGGTGTAGGACTCCAAGGTAATTGAGTTTATCTTTCAATTTTTTTGATCCAAATATACATCAAGATATCTAAACTAAGCCCTCCCATGGCTGCCCCTTCAAACCTCTATCCACACCCTCCATCCAAACAGACCTTTAGGGTCAGTATTCATAAAAAATCAAATTGTTAGTAAAAAAAGTTCTCCACACCCATATACACACATAAATAATGTCAAAGGTTGTGCTTCCAATAGGTAGAAGCTTTTAACTGAGAAATGAGAATGAATTTCGAAAGTTGGTTACAATAGATGTAACCAAGTGCGCGGTGACATTTTTGTAAATACTTGTGAAATCTTGTGTCCCGTCTTTTAGTGTAACACACTAGCACCGTCAAATCCAACTGATGAGATTCATTCTTATTTCTCGCATTAGATGCATTTCTCACTTGAACCAATATGTGTATATATACAAATACATTTTCCAGTCCCGCTTCGTGTACTCGGCGTTGTACACACCATTGTACACGCCGGTCAAATTGTTTGTGTACAGACAATTTAACTGATGAAGAAAACCGATTTCCACATAGACAAAAATAAAAATTTGTCTGTATCACGGACATTTTAAATGAGAATTTTTCATAAAATGTCTGTGATATAGAGAATTTTAAACGAGAATTTTAAAATGTTTGTGATGCATACAAATTTTTTGTTTTGTCTGGGTGGAAATTGATTTTCTTCATTCAACGCCGGCCAAATTGTCTGTACACAAACAATTTGAGCGGCGTGTACAATGGCAAGTACAAGCTTGCTGTGTACAAAGAGCATTTTTCTAAATTTTTTAGAGGGGGGCTTGGTGCACCGGTTAAGGTGTTCTTGTGTGATCGAGAGGTCACGGGTTAAAGTCTTGAGAGCGGCCTCTAGTCAAAAATTGACAGGGAAAGGCTTTTTACTCTTACACCCTGGCTGCCTTTTTTTAGATAGTTTTTTTTAAAATAAGTGGTAGTAGTAGTTTGTGGTTTAACAATTACCAATGCTTGATTGTGGACCCCCACCCATCATGTTGATTCTGTTCTGCACCATTCTCAACTTGGAGGCCATGAGCTGACCAGATCGAAGCTGCTGGCTGATCGAGGCAAGATTCGATGCCTGGCCCAAGTTCATGGCATTCTGACCCAAATTGCCCATTGCTGCTGGAATAGAACCCATCGGCGCAGAAATCCCAGAGCCCCCTCTTACGCCCATGCCACCCATTACATTATGGCTTGCTAGCCCACCAAGACCAACCATACCACTGTTCATGTTTCCCATACCCACATTTCCAAGACCCATCATCATCTTCCTTTGTTGTTGCTGTTGTAGAATCTGAAGTGGGATTGGGGAAGGTTTATTAGCCGCCAAGTGGTTAGTAGAGCCTCCTCCATTTGAATGGTTAGCAGCCATCATCATAGATGATGATCTTTGGAACTGCGGATGCTGCTGTTGAATTAAAGAGTGTTGTTGATTCAGTGGCTGCTGCGGAGGTGGCAGCATCTCAGGTTGTTGTGTCCTAGGTGGCAGTTGCTGTAATGCATGTGTGGTCCCTGGAGGTAACGATCTTGTGCCTTGACTGTTCTGAGTTGAATTGAATGAAGCATTAATGCCGTTCGATGCCCTTACACTTTCAGCAGATGGACCAGAAGGAACTCCTTCAGAAGGATGTTGTAGCATGTCATTCCCAGGAGAAAGACCATGCATGTTAGGTGGTTGACCGCTTGTGGAATTATTATGATGATTAACAGCACGCATTGGCTTTGTGTGGACATTATCTTCCACAAAATGCCCTTCGTGGATCATCTGTATATGCAGAAAAGCCGGTTAGATATAAAATTATATAAAAGAAAAAGGTAAAACTTGCAAAAAGTCTTCAGTATTAAAGGAAAATACCAGTGAGCAGTACTGTGAAGCCAGCAAATCAGCAAAATGCTGTCAAAATAGAGTAAAAACGTGAGAACAAGATGAATACATTCATTTGCAATGATGAATATGCTAAATTTAGTCCCTATATTATCAAAAAAGATAGGCTAAAGGGTCAAATAGGCCCTCGAACTAACTTAAAAAGTGCAAATCACCTCTTATTTAGGAGGCTCTGTCCGGCCGTCGCCATTTGGGGCGGTTCCCGGTGGAAATTTTTGATTTGAAATTTTTTGAG